TTGGATTGGGCTGTGGTCAGACATAAGATCAGTGACAACATCAGAGCTATGAGTTGTGTATGATAGATTAAAACCAATACACTTGTCTAGAGCCCAGCCATAGATGTGTGTTGGTTCTTTATTACCTATAATTTGAACATCATATGCACTGAGAAGTGAGATAAGTCTCCTACCATTGGTGTTAGTGGTGGGGTCACCTAACTTCTTGTGTCTAGTATTCAGGTCACCCATCAGGACAGTGGGCTCAGTGTGTAAAAAGTCTGGGAGATCTGTGTACTGAAGCTGATCTGAGGAAGCATAGGCGTTTAGCATGTTGAGTGTGGAGTTGCCCAGGTGGATAGTGATCCCATGGTACTGAAGGTTGGTAGTCTTTTTGGATACAAGAGGTACATGCGGGAGTGACTTCTTAACATACATCAAACATGAGTGAGTAGAACTAGGGTCATAATACACATAATTGGGCAGACTGGGTGGGGGCTTACCATTAGGTGTGAGACACTCCTGCAGACACACAATATCGATGTCCTCAGTCACAACTTTGTGGTGTAGGTCAGGGTATCGTTTTCTAAGGGATGAGATGTTCCAACTCATCACCTTCACCGCTCTGTATCTTTGTCTCGTATTAACACTATATTTGGAAAGAAGCAAAAGGCACTGTATGGTACTGTTTTTTCTACGCTGCCTGTCCCTTTGGCAGGCAGTAGGCCATTTAACCCTTTTGAAACATTTCTGCAGCATGTACTGCTCAACAATTGTTGTATTTCAGTGGTCGACAACAACACACTTTGGTTACACTCGACATCACCACCATTTTCTGTTTATGTTTGTTCATCTTCACTGACCAATGTCCACAGAGGCATCAGTAGAACTGTTACCAGTACAGGTATCACTATTTTCCTCTGCGTGGACACTAGTTCCTGGTGGGTCTTGAGTTTCCACATCTGGTACTGACATCTGAATATCTTCAGTTTGACTGCAATTTTTCCATAGCTGCTGCACTGTGTTGGTGGTGTTCTTTATCTGTAGTGTATCACAGAGGCTCCTTAACATATGAGTTTGAGCTGTAAATTGAGCTTTGAGTTCTTTAATTTAATTTTTCAAATCATTGATCTCTTCACTTTGTGCAAGTTCACGGGGTGTGTTGGCAGCTACCTGTTGTGTCGGTACGTCTGTGTTGCCCCATGCTGATCTTTCGATGACTGCTGGTGATGATCCTGGAGCTTTGGTGGGGAGGGCGGGCCAAGGGTTGGCCGTAGGGAGTACCCTAGCAGCAGTAGTGTTCTTGAGACCTGCCTGGGTGGCGGGCCTGGGCGCTGAAGGGGCGTAGGAGCTCTAGGACAGTCAGGGTGCCAAACAGGAACTCCAACTGTTCTGTTGAATGACACCCCCTTGAGCAACTGTATCTCTGTAAGCCTGTGTTGCATGTTGTCTTGAGCAGAGACCACACCACGGCTTAGTAGAGGGGCATAATTGGGCCACTTGGCCCCAGTGTTGACAATTGTAACACCTCCGGGTAGGGGGTTGATAGAGAGTTACCTCCAGAGCCCGATAGGCACCACAGACTCGAATGGTCTTGGGTGGGTCCCCCGAGCCAACCCAGTCTGTAATGACTGCGTTCTTGCCCCTGAGTCGCTTCGTCCTTCTGATTGAGGGATGAGGATGGGTGGTTTGTGTGTGTGTGTGTGTGTCTGTGTGTGTGTGTGTGTGTGTGTGTGTGTGTGTGAGGGTAGATCCAGAAAGTTTCAATACTTTTTCTCTAGTGCAGCCTTGTACTCAGGCATTTTTGTACATGGGTACAGTAAAAAGTATTTACGATTGACTTCAGAATATCTCCTAATATCAAGTGTGCATGGCTTCAAAATTCCCATAATATTGGTCAGATTAAAAAAAAATTCTGGGTGGCCTACAGCGTCCCCCCTACCGAAAAAAAACGCAGCTGGGCGGGCTTGCTACGCTCGCCATGTTCCCCCACCCACAACTTCTAACCCCCCTTTTGATATTCCTGGATTCACCCTTGGTGTATGAATGATTTGATGCTTAGACCCTTGCTGTTTTCCTCTATTTTTTTTTTATAAAGCTAATAAGATAGTGTAACCTGCTTACAACCCATCACTACTCTGCCCTACCTAATATTCTACCTCCTTTTTTTTCTTTCCACTGAGAATAGCCCACATGGGCACAGATCATCAACCCACAATGGGGCCTAGGGGGTGAAAAAATAAGAGTAAAAAGAAATTAAAAATAGAAGAAAATAGACTATTTATCTACACCACGAAGATGCCGGAAAACCAGCTTTTTGAAGTGAGTCAGATTGTATGAATATGGAAACACAGAAGAAGGCAGAGCATTCTACAGTTTGGCTGTGTGAGGAAAGAAGGATGTACTATAAACGGTTATTTTTAGTGTGACCAACATCCACACAGAAATGGTGGGCACTGCAGCCAAGATGAGTATTATGAGCCCATGGTCTTGCCGGCAGTACACAGGATGCCAAATCTACCGAACATTGTCCGTTAAAGTACCTGTAAAAGAGAGAGAGTGAAGCAACATTGCTGCAAAGAGAAAGGGAAGAGAGATTATCAACTAACGGAGGAGAGCTAATAAGACAAAATTCATTTGATTCCACCCTATCTAACAGTGATGTAATTATATAAAACTAATGTACGTTGTACGTAGCCCATATTTATATACTGTAGATATTACTGTCGTTTAGACAGGGGCTAATACACTCTGCCCAGCCTGGTTCCCCTCTTTGCCCAGTGCCCACTACCCCACACTATCCACTACCTCACATTACCCAGTAACCCTCACTGCCCACATGACACCTTACCCTGACATGCTTATCCTCCTATTTCTCACAACCCCATTTTGTTTTACTAAGTCCTTCATACCTTTGTTTAGGGTATGTTCTATTAATATGTATTTTTAACTCTAAAGAGAGTTTGGTGTCCAAGATTCAAAGGAAATACTGCAGTTAATAGAACACAAACCATCTCAAAATGCATCACTAAAGACTAATTTGGCAACAAATTTCTCTCAATGAAGGAAGTACAGTTATACTGTACACCTTTCCTACTCCCACCTCAGTTTTGCATTTGCTAGTCTTTGACTCTTCCACCCTCAGCCTTACAATTTCCTGAAATTTCCTTCATTTCATCAATCAATTTAAGCATTACTATGGTATTACCCTTTATATTTGGCTGAAATTGTGATTCAACAGAATTATGTCTTCAGTATACAGTACCTGTATAATATTCCATGTGTTGCTTATAAATGTTTAGTTGAAATTAAGTCTCTTGGAAATAGAAACCCAGTAGGTGCCCTCTTATGTGTGTACAATGAAAGACAAATGTCGTGTCGTGAAATTTGGTGAAAACATATGCCGAAGGGCTAAACTTTTGGTGTGCTTTACCTTGTGGTAGGGGGCTCTCATAATGTTTCAAGAGATATATTTAATCTTCGGACAAAACCCTGACACGACTTTTGTCACACCCTAGATGCTCGTGATGGTGCATTAGGATATCATTTTCAGATTGCATATAACAAAACAAATGGGGGTAAATAGTGTTCGATTTCCTAGTGAAGAAAACGGTTCATGAACAACAAAAAACTTACCTCAACTGCTGTAATTTAGTACCTAGCTCCAAGAAAACCCTGATTTTGTACCTAAAAATAATTAAATAAATTTTTTAAAAGAAAAAAATGCTTTATTTACCATAATACTGCACTTAGCTACTATAATATAGTACAGAACTGTACCTAACTACTGTACAGTATTTGCTAAACTAAGCAAAATATACTATCCACTTGATACATACGTACCTTATCAGGGAGTACTCAGGGTACACCATAGGGAATGAGATAAATTTTTTATTAGATCATCATCCATATAAGAGATGATCACTTTCAGATAATGAAAAAGTAAGTACTAGTACTGTACTGTACAGTATAAGAATAAAATCTTTGGATAAGCACATTTTCAAGTACAAAACACCGAACATTTGGATAATGAGAAATACCTTTAGTAAGAGTGTGTGTGTAATAATAATAATAATAATTAACGGTTTATTGAAAAAGTTCTGCAGCCCGAAGGCTGAAAATATACATTGGACAAAAATGACTTATTACACACAAAGACATGGGGTAGGTGGGTCATTTAACAAAAACTTTCATTACTGAAAGAAGAAGGAACAATGATTGAACATTCAAATTATTATAGTTTACAGTTGATGGCCCGGGCCTGGGCTGGTCATGGAGACGTCGGGTGGTGTGGTGTTCACGTAGTGTAGTAACTTGCCCTCAGGTGTTGATATGAAGGACCTCACGTGGTCATGGAGACACCATGTGGTGTGGTGTGGTGTTCACGTGGTGCAGTAACTCGTCCTCGAGTGTTGCTATGAAGGACCTCATGTGGTCATGGGGACACCGGGTGGTGTGGAGTGGTCACAGTACCTTACCCTGGTGGGTGGTGTTGTGTTATCTCATAGTCAGGTGTGAAGCCGACCCACTGTTGTTCCCATGGTGGACTGATTAGCACCTCCTGGTCAGAAGATGGTGGTCAGTTCCCAGGGGTGCTTGTCCCACTGGTGGGTCACTGCTCACTGGTACTGTCCGGTGCTGAACTCACTGGCTTAAACACTGTTCATCACTGTTCAACACTGATCCCACTTCTTTCCGAAACGAAATTGTCACTTTTGATTACTATGTTGATATCCCGGTGGTGAGGATGGGTCGGGGAGACGGACTTGGGGAATGGGCCGAACATTGACCAAGGGGGGCAGCTACTCAGCAGGAGCAGCGCCTGAATAGGTCTCGACCCTATGGTGATCAAGGATGTAGTGTGCATGCGTGCGTGGAAAATTTCAGTTGTCTTTTGCTGCTAAAAGGGTTTTGCCAATAAATCTCACTACATTTACAATAGTGTTACTTGATTAGCTGTGAGATGTGTGAATACTCATTTTTGTTTTATATTCCTTGTTTATATGTGAATTTTATTCCAGGTTTCTCTGTTGGACGATGACTGCGATGAGGGCGTGGATGATGGTGGAGACTTGCTGCCGGACACACCACCAACACATCCCCACTCTCATACTCCACCACCCACTCCACCTGGTGGACGTGGAGTGTCCCCTCCATCACCTTCTGCTAATTTCACACACCACCAGAGTGGCCCTCCACATGGTCCAGGGCCCGGGGGAGGAGGTGGAGGACTAAATAACCAAGTCGGCCATGGTGGGTTGGGCCATGGTGGATCAAATCATACAGGGCCAAACCATGGCAGTCAGGGCCACACGGCTCAGGGTCAGGGGCGCTCCAAGTCCTTGGAGCTACACCAACAACGCTCAACAGATTCAGACAAAGAGGCTCCACTAGTTACCTCAGCCAGACACAGGGTGAGTTTGTCCTGCTGATTTTTGTCATTATACATGTAAAGTCATCACCTTTATGTGTTATGTTTTATGTTCTTTAGGTGACCTGTAGAACCTGTGAGACAGACCAGAGAACAGTACTTCCCAATTAAGGGGCTTTCAATTGGTTTGCTTGACACATGATATCTTCCATCTTTTCCTGGTTGGTATGAAATCTCACATGTAACATGGTAATTGATCTTTAGGACTAAAAATAACTCGAGTATAAAATCCTATCTTATGACTGAGGGACAGAGACAAGTGACCTGGAACTGCTCCTTCTTCCCTCGTTGGTTTCCTTTCCTTATGAAGTATGGAGTTCAAGTTCCAAGTTTATGAATGATGTGGGTACAAGCCAAGCAAACCCAATACTATGCCTATTGGCATGCTAGTTTTTTAAACAAACATTGGATCAGGCTTGGAGCTTGCTTCATAAGAACTGATTAAGTCAAGCAAGTAGTTTTTGATACAATGATTTACACTGATCTGACGGAATAGTATTCCTGTCACGGAATTAAGATACAGTATTGTAGTTTTCTGGACAAAGTATGCTGAACTACAGGGTGTTCTGGTAGTGTTTTCTTGCAGTTCACTTATCATTTTTTGTCAGCCAACAAGTTCAGATTGTATATTTCAAGCCTTTTTCTTTCAGTGTAATGTAAGGACAGAGGTGTATTGTGATTTTTTATGTACAGTATACTGTACTGCAGGCATGGGCAACCTACGGCCCATGTGGCCTGGACCATGTGTTTGTGTGACCCTTGGAGTGATTAAGAAATTGCATTTAATGTGGCCTGCGATTCAGGTAGATTACGCCAGTTTATGGTGAGTAAAGCAATATTTATTAAAAGAGTATTCTTCACACACAATTCGTTACTGTTTCATCATCTCAGAGTAGGTAACTACGAAAGTGTGATGATTGTTTATCAGACCACAGCTTACAGCCCAGAAAGAACAGCACATATAACAATAAGTAGATGAGCAGGTGTACACCCACGCAAGTTGACACACCCTACAGTGAGATTAAGACCTGATCCAGGAAAGGTCTTGGCCACAAGGTACCTGAGTTAACCCAGCGACATGACCGTGTTACTCAAGAATCTACACCTGGTCAGACACACCTGGGTGGTAATAGTTAGGAGGCATTACCGACCGGTGACAAGACCACGCACCTGGGCAAACACAGCTGTCCAGACCTGACCCAAGAGAGGTCACGGTCTCAATGACACAGAGTTCTCACCGCTTCATCAATAGCTAACCCGGCAACATGACCGTGTTACTCAAGAAGCTACCCTCCAGCTAGTACACCTGTCACCGAATCCAGGTAAAAAAGTCACAGGAAAAAAAGTCACAGAAAAAAAGTCACAGGAAAAAAGACACAGAAAAAAAGTCACAGAAAAAAGTCACAGAAAACAGTCACCTAACCCAACCCAACCCAACCTAACCTAACCTAACCTAACCTAACCTAACCTAACCTAACCTAACCTAACCTAACCTAACCTAACCTAACCTACGTGCATCATATATAAATTGTGTTGTCAATATGTAAAAGTCATGTATTGTCAGTTAATAACTGTTTTAAAATATTTTTAGTTTTATTACCTTAAATGTGACTTTTTTTCCTAGCCAAAATTGTAACTTTTTTTCTGTGACTTTTTTTCCTGTGACTTTATTACCGGTCACCCCTGTCACCTGACCAGACACACCCAGATTAGTGACGACATATTCCGGTTCGTGACCGCCATTATAAAGGCCCTGCAACTCCCTCCTTCAGCTTTAGCATTCGGATTATTATTGTAACAAGGAAGGGGCCGACAGCTCCTCCCGAGAGAGAGACTTCCCCTCCCCAGCATCGAACCCCAGGTAGCAGAGTCTCCCATAGGAGACATAGTCCAGCAGCACCTACAGCTTCCTCAGCCGCTGGGCCTCCCTCAGGTCACACATGAGTCATTGCCAGAGCGATCCCTAAGGTGATTTACTTACGGTGGGAAGTGTATCCATTTCATGTTTGTGTCTGAGAGTCATTGTATAGTAACGTAAATATAATGATCGATTAATGTGTCCATGCCATTGAGTTGAATAATAAATAGCTGTACTTAGAATTGGTGTTTAGAAAATTCCCCTACGAATATACACTGCTATTGTGTATATGTGAATTAGATATTTGGCCTGTAAGAGGGGATAGCATCTAATTCACATATACACAATAGCAGTGATTTAATTGATAAACTCAAGAAACACAATGAACCTTGCGAATTAATAAGTTTTGATGTAAATTCACTGTTCACTAGAGTACCTGTGAAAGACCTACTTTTATTTCTTAAAGATAAATTACAACTGTTAGATTTAACTATTGAACATGATACTTTCCTCAAATTGATAGAGTTATGCGGAACTGACAATGTGTTTAGAGCAAATGGGAAGTTCTACAAGCAAATATTTGGCATGAGCATGGGTAATTGTCTTTCTGCTCCTCTAGCCTGTATTTATATGGAGTTTTTTGAGTCTAGATTACTACCCAATATAGTGGACTTTATTCCTCCATGGTATAGATATATAGATGATGTTCTTTGTCTTTGGCCTAGAAACAGTGACCCATTGGAATTTTTAGACAAGCTTAATGATATTGTCCCAAGTATCACATTCAAAATTGAAAGAGAAATAAATGGATCCCTTCCATTCCTTGATATGCTTATCATGAGAAATGGCCAAAACTACAAATTTAAGGTATACAGAAAGCCCACACAGGTGACAGTTTCATTCACTTTTTATCGAATCACCTGGAGTCTACCAAAATGTCAGTTTTTTCTGCTATTTTCTTAAGATGTCTGCGTATTTGTGACTCTGAATTTATTGACGATGAATTGAAACACATTCGTTCCATTGCACAGAAACTCGGGTACCCTTCTGTGTTTGTTGATCGTTGTTTTAAAAGGGCTAAAAAATCCTTTCATTCCTCTCAAACCAGGCAAATTCCTACACTTAAGAATATTTTGACTCTGCCCTATCGTAATGAATTTGTTCCGTTAGTTCGGTCCCTCAAGCTTCTAAATATTAATGTTGTTTTCAAGTATGACTCAACCATCACCAATATGTTAACAAGAAATAGCCCAAGTTTGAATGTAAATGGAAGTGTTTATTGTATTCCATGTATCAAATGTAATTGTAATTATGTAGGACAGAAGGAAAAACACTGCAGCTCAGAATCAAACAACATAAGTATAATATCAGAACAGCATCTGAAAGCAGTGCCTTGTTCGTTCATGTTAGGAATGATAATCATCCCATTGCTTGGGAAAAAAGCTTAGAAGTATTTAAATCATCTTGTGTCACAGAAAGACTTCTGGTTGAAGCTAGTTTGATTAAGGAATTAAAATCAATAAACCTTAGTGATGGTCAGTTCAAAACTGATAATATGTTACATAAATTTATTTGTCAGTGGCCCAAGGTTAAAAATGCTTTGAAAACCTTTGATCTAGATGTATGATAGTTATTTAGTGGGTCCCTTATTTTTGACCTGACCTGACTAGTCACGTCACCCCCCCTTCTCTTAAGCTCCTCTACGTGTGTGTTGGTGTGGGGATTAGTGGATGACATCATTATGACCTGACCTCATGTTTTTAAGGTCACCCTGTATATTTAAGCCTCTCTCTGTCCATGTAATCCAGTTGCCTCTGAAGATGTCTTGAATAAAGACGAAAGCTAAGGTGCTCCGTTGTTTCCCTTTTCCCGTGTGATTTTATCAAGATTTATCTTATCCACGTTTTCATTGTGGATCTACATGATATATATATATATATATATATATATATATATATATATATATATATATATATATATATATATATATATATATATATATATATGTATATATATATATATATATATATATATATATATATATATATATATATATATATATATATATATATATATATATATATATATATATATATATATATATATATATATATATATATATATATATATATATATATATATATATATATATATATATATATATATATATATACTTAACGCGGTCAATTGAACCCAGAGGGTCCCGCGTTAAGTGAAAACCGCGTTAAGTGAATAACAGAACATATGGGATTAATTCCAATAGAACCCAGCCCGACCCCCAAACTCCACTTTTTGACGACAAATAACTATGTTGTAGTAAAAATTCTATCTTAACTTTATGGTGGCATGAAAAACAAGTAATATAGAAGAGGTTAGGTTAGGAAAGATAAAGGTTAACATAGGAAAAATAAAGAATAGGTTAAAAAACGAAAAATTTTGAGGAACACTCACGGTAGTAGAAGAGATGGGTCGGCATACGGGGATGGAGGCTGGTTCCGAGGCAGAGGGCAGATTACTGCCCCTCAGGTGAATCACCATTACTAGGTGAATCAATATCACTGTCACTTACAGTTGTTATGGCTTCCCTGACAAATCCCTCAAAATCAACTTCACTATCACTATCACTGGCTTGGGCTGGCTGTGGTGGGTTGCGGGCGAAGAACTCGGTTATGCTTTGCTGACGGCTGGCTTTGATGTTGTCATGATACACCGTGATGTACGGCTCCATAGCCTGCACCAGTCGGGTATGGAAGACGTCATGGCGTTCATCGTCAGTGTCGCGGGAAACGATGGACTTAATTTTTTCTGTTAACTCTATGAGACACTTAATATCACTATGACTTAAACTAGGTTCTTCGGAGAATGACGCACCTTCTTCCTCCTCTTCACTGGCGGGTTCTTCTTCCAACATCTCGTCGGCAGTCACTTCAGGATCTCTGATCACCTCCATGATGTCTTCGTTGGTGGTCTCGGAGAAGCCTTCAGCTGTAATACTGAGCGCAGCTTCTCTGGCAAGGTCCACTGCTACTGCAACAGTCTGAACCTGACCAGTCACAGGTTCACTCCTCCTCTCACCTGGTATGCCATGCAACACATGTCTCCATGCGTGACGAATCGTAGCAATAGTCAGCAGATCCCATGCCTCCACCAAGAAGTCTACAGCTTGTTTGACGTTAAACTTCTTCCAAAATTGTTTGACGAGAAGTTCTTGAGTCGCCGCCTCTTGTTCCTTGTCCTCGTCGCTTTTACTCTCGCTGTCGGTGTCACCCAGCTTACGCAACTCATCCTTGGTGTTGGTAGAGTCGTTCAGGAGCTTGAATTTCTTTGCCGAGTATGCAGCTTTAACATTGCAGATTAACTCCTGGTCCATGGGCTGGATTAATGACGTAGTGTTGGGAGGAAGGAAGACCACTTTTACGTTGGGGTGACGATCCATAAGTAGGGGCGAGTGTCCAGGTGCGTTGTCAAGGAGCAACAAAATATTGAAAGGAACATTCTGTTGCTCGCAGAATTTCTGCACGTCAGGAACAAAACAGTTGTCAAACCAGAAGAGGGACAGAGAAGAGGACATCCACGCCTTACGTGCGGTTAGCCAGTGGACATTAAGCTTGTTCATGTCCATATTCTTGTAGGCGTGCGGCTTGCGGGCTTTGTGAATCACCGATAACTTTGGTTTACAGGTACCGGAGGCATTGGTGGTAAACAGGACGGTGATGCGTTCCTTCTGCATCTTCCGGCCCCTTACCTTGCTCGCAGACTGGACAACGAAGGTCTTGGAAGGTAACTTTTTCCAGAAAAGACCAGATTCGTCCATGTTAAACACCTGGTCGTCACTGTACTGTCCTTCCTCCATAATCTCACGTAAAAACGGAGGAAAATCTCTAGCCGCCGCACGGTCAGCACTCGCTTCCTCACCAACAATGCTGATGTTGGTGACCTTGTTCCTCCTCTTAAACCTATGCAGCCAACCATGGGAAGCATTGAAGGGTTTGGGCTCTGCAATTCCCAGTTTACGTGTCACTGCTGCGTATAGCTCACGTGCGTACTCCTGCACTGAGCGCGTGTCCACCGCCATGTTGCGTCGCGCCTGACGCACCAAATAACTCACCAGCAAAGTTTCCACTTTTGCCAGCACCCTGTTCTGGCAATACCTGATAGATGAAGCACCTGCAGACTTTGTGATCTTCATGTGCTCCTTTATCTTGGCTGCATCCTTCTTTATTGTACGAATCGTAGATTCGTTGACGCCATGCTGGCGCGCGAGATCAACTTGGCGTCTTCCTTTCTCCAAATCTTGAACAATTTGGTACTTCAGCTCGTAGCTTAATGAACGTCGTGTCTTCTTTGGTTTAGTGCCGCTGGGTCCAGGTAAGGAAAGGTTTCTCTCTGGGGGTGGTGGTCCGGCGGAAGCCATTTTACGGAACAATGGATGCGCGTTAACCCGGCGTGGCCTTGAGGGATGAAACTGCCGCGGCTAGGTCAAGCGTCGTCTCTCCTCCCTCCCTCCCTCCCCGGGGTAGTCACGTCATAATACTTTAAGCCAATTACAGCTAGCAGCAGAGGGGGGTAGGGCTGCATGGCCAATCACAGTCCGAGACGTCATATGACGTCAGTGATAACGCAACAAAGACACACACTGCGCAACCTTACCGCGCCGCTTACCCAAGCGGAGGGAGGAGGAGGGAGAGGCAGGCAGGCAGGAGGGCGGGTGGGTGGCGCGTGGTCAAAATCTAAAAATAGCATCCGAGCCGGACACTCACCGCGTAGCTGTGGAAAAACCCGCGTTAAGTGAAAGTTCAGCTTTGGCAAGGCACCGCGTATATGATAAAACGCGTTAAGTGAAAGCGCGTTAAGCGGGGTAAAACTGTATATATATATATATATATATATATATATATATATATATATATATATATATATATATATATATATATATATATATATATATATATATATATATATATATATATATATATATATACTGTATGTATATACAGTATATATATACACATACATACAGTGGTCCCTCGGTTAATGAGCACAATTCGTTCCAGAAGGTTGCTCGTTAACCGAAACCATTGTTTCAATGGGTTTTTGGGTGATTGGTTCCAGCTCACCGAAAATTGCCTTAAATCAACAAAATAGTTAGTAAAGTACACTTACTTTGAGGTGTGTATGTTGAAGGCTCCTGGATGATAATGAAGATGATGGGAATTAGAAGTGGGGGTGGAGGAGAAGGGAGAAGAGAAGGCAGTGGGGGTGGAAGAGAAGTCACCCCATGCTTCATGCCGCCATTTCACCCATAAAATTTTAAGTTCACTTGGTGTAATTCAAGATTATTTTCTTAAATTCAACACTGCACTGCATTATATATTGTCAATATGTAAAATAAATTTCAGAATGACCAATAATTGTACTGTAAAAAAGTAAAAATAGTTTATGTTCAAGAGAGTCTCAAGCAAGATGCTATTTCCACTGAGCAGAGACACAAACTGATGGCATTCTGGGTGAGTCAAGTGGCTGTTTGGCGCGCTAAAAACTAGTTCCCTGTCCTCCAGATTATGTTAAATAATTGTTAAAATGACCAAAATTTTTAATATAAGACTTGGAAAATTATTGAATAGTACAACCTTCTTCATATTTACTCAAATGGTAACGAATTTAAGCCCTAAAACCGATTACTGTATTGGCGGACTAATACTCCAGCTGGTGAGCAGGCGAAAGCATGTTGACACGATTTTGTAAGTATTTTGTTCACCGAATTTTTGTTCGTTAATCGAGTTGAAGATTCTTATGGAAGGTAATTCGTTAACCGAAATTTCGTTAACCGAGGCGTTCGTTAACTGAGGGATCACTGTATATACAGTATAGTCTGGATTTACGCGGTCAATTGAACCCGTGGAGGTCTGCGTAAAACGAGAAACGTGTTAACGAAATAACAGAACATATGGGATTAATTGAAATAGAGACTGGGCCGACCCCCCAAACTACACTTTTTCTGAAACAATACGTACGTTGTAGTAAAAATAACATCTTAATTTTATGGTGGTATGCACACACAATTAATAATTAAGAGAAATATCAATAATATTAGGTTTTTTAACACTTAAGTTGGTAGAAAAGCTGGGTCAGCACACATGGATGGCGGCTAGTTCCGAGGCAGTGGGCAGATTAGTTGCCCACCGGTGAATCACTTTCACTTTCACTACTCGCAGAGGTTTGCAGGGCCTCCCAGACAAACCCCTCAAAGTCCATATCCTCACTATCACTGACTTGGGCTGGCTGTGGTTGTGGTGGGTTGCGGGCGAGGAAGTCTTCAATATTACGTTGACGACTAGCATTGATGTTGTTGAGATAGATCTGGATATATGGCTCCATAACTTTCGACAGATGGTTATTAGACGCTTCATACCGATGCTTGTCTGGGTCGTTGTCATAGATGAGCTTAATTTTCTCCCCCAACTCGATGATTTCCTTCACATTATCATGGCTTGGTCCAGGTAATTCAAGGTTTTTCTCGGGTGGTGGGGGTCCAGCGGAAGCCATTGTGAGGGGAATAGGTGGCACAAGAGAGAACTGTATACGCGGACTGAGAACAATGAGACAGGTCCGGCTAGGTCAGCGACTTCTACCCTCTGGTGGCAGGGCACGTCATGTTACATTAAACCAATCACAGCTAGCGGTGGAGGGAATGCGTGGGTGGTAAGGATGCGTGGCCCAATCACAGTCCGATACGTCATATGACGTCAGCGATAACGTAAGAGCGGCCTAATGCGCACCACTCACCTCGTCGCTTCTCGCGTATGGTCAAGAATGGACCGCGTTGGTAAAAAATGGCGCGGCGGTCTGGACCTCTCCAGCCGCTCGCCGTGTAAATGACCAAATTTACCTCGTAATTAAAGCATTTTCATTCTGGCAAGGCACCGCGTAAATGACCAAACGCGTAAACAAAAACCGCGTAAATGCAGACAATACTGTGTGTGCATATATATATATATATATATATATATATATATATATATATATAAATAAATCACTGTAGGTGCGCGTGATCTAGGTATATGCTGATAACCACAAGGAAAGAAGAAAACACGAAGTTCCCAAGCGCTTTCATGTAATTCACATCTTCAGGGGTGAGTACAGACTGTACTCACCCTGAGATATGGCTAACAAACATATATATATATATATATATATATATATATATATATATATATATATATATATATATATATATATATATATATATATATATATATATATATATATATATATATATATATATATATATATATATATATATATATATATATATATATATATATATATATATATATATATATATATATATATATATATATATATATATATATATATATATATATATATATAAAGAGAGAGAGAGAGAGATTTTTCATTGCAGTTCCTCATATGCCAAGATTAACATTGGCATTATTCTCGTGGGTGTTTTTCATAAGTAAGAAAAATGCTGCAACTGTAGGAAAAATCAATGTACAGGTATTCAGAGAATGTTTCACTCATCTTCTGTTAAATGCCAAGAAACATTAACATATTATTTGAAAAATTATTATGGTGGATATGTTTCATAAATAGGAAAAAGACTGATTGTAAACTGAAAATATCGTAAGGTAGATGTGACAATAAATTGCTTCACTGTCTGTGCTAATACAATATTAACATTGCTTTTGGGTTAGGTAAGATATAAATTTTGGTGGGTTGGGCCGCAGAAAATAACTAAATCATAATGTGGCCCATGACTGAGGAAAGGTTGCCCATGCCTGCTGTACTGTATAAGCAGGGTAACCTAAATTATGGTTAGGTCACAGGTTTCACAATTATTTATCATACTGATTACTTTCTCATAAACTCTTAAATGTTATACTGTATATTTTACTTATTTTTTAGCACCATGGAGGAAAGCCAAAACTCTTGCAACGAAGTCATGCCATGCGAGAGGATACATCCCCTCCACCAGAGCTGCTGGAGCCAGTTCCCCCTTCCTCACACTGCAGCAATAACAGCAGTGGGGGTAACACGCTCACAGTGTCAACAGGTGGTGGCAGCCGGAGAAGACTTAAGCATCAAGGATCCTCACAAGGTTCATTTGATGGCTCCTCTCCATGTCTCTCTAGAGGTCAGTTACTGAACTCAAGATAGATGTTTACAGGTGATATTACTGTAGTGGGTGATTCAGAGTAAAAGGTTCTATTATTAGTGAGTGAGCTTGGTAGAGTGTGTACAAGGAGAAAATTAATAGTGATTATGAATGAAAGTCAAGTGATAAAATTATTTGTACTGTAGGGAATGAGATTAGAATGAAGTTAGGTGTTTCAGATATCTGGGAGTGAATGGTGGAGGAGAAAAGTAATACCATACATGCATTGTTGAATATATGGAGAGATTCATATCAAAAGAGGCAAAGATGGGGATATACAGGAGGACAGTACAGTGTGTGTGTGGGCACGAAGTGTGGACTCAAAATTTACGAGAAGCTAATCAGAAGTGACAGAAATGATGAGCTTGAGTGCAACATGTGGAGTGAATATGGTCCAGTGATTAGAAATTTAAAAATTAGATAAGAAACTCTTTATAGAAATGGAAGATGTGTCAGACAGAGAACTGACCAGACTTGGCTGAGGTGAAAGAATGGGAATTAAAGGATTGGCATAATTGAGGGATTGATTCTGATATCCTGTACTATAACCTAGCATGGATCAGGCAAAGCATGTACAATACAGGGAGCTCCCAAATTCACAGGGGTTAGGTTCTCAAAATGGCCGCGAATTGCCAAATCCGTGAATAACATTTGCTGACGGGGGTGGGGGGGTACATTTTTATTTGTGTACAAAGAAATGTATATTCCCTTTATGTGTTTGCCCTTAGGACAATTATTTCTTTTACCTGTACAGGTATTGTATATATGTGTGTGTGTAGACACACACACACACACACACACACACACACACACACACACACACACACACACAAAACACATTCAAATAAATAATAATGGGAAAATACTCTCATATATAATTAGAAACAAATTTATTAAAAATGTAAGTCTACCCTCAAGTCGTGCTTTATTAATAAAGTGATAGAGCACAGACTTGAGGGTAGGCTGTCACAGTTTTAATAAATTTGTTTCTGATTTTATATATGTATTGTATTGTATATATGTGTGTGTGTGTGTGTAGATACACACACACACAAAACACATACAAATAAATAATACTGGCAAAATTCTCTCACAAATAATAGCAAACAAATTTATTAAAAATGTGACAGTCTACTTTCAAGTCCGTGCTTCACTACTGTGCTTTACAGTATTAATAAAGCACGGACTTGAGGGTAGACTGTCACATTTTTAATAAATTTGTTTGCTATTATTTGTGAGAGAATTTTGCCAGTATTATTTATTTGTATGTGTTTTGTGTGTGTGTGTGTGTGTGTGTGTGCATGTCTACACACACACACACACACACACACACACACACACACACACACACACACACACACACACACACACACACATATATTTACAATACAGATAAAGGAAATTACCGTCTCTAGGACAAATGGCTCCCTGTACCAGCTGCAAAAATGCCGGCAACTTTAAAACTACCCACAGACATTCTTGAGTATATCCAGAGTGTCATCCTTGAATAATTAATAGAGGACCTCGAAATAAAAATCCGCGAATTTGGGGAGCCTTCTGTATGTACAGTATACCATTAACACATCTACATGTTTAACCACCCACAGTTCCCACGAGCTTTGACTTGTGTGACTGGAACTAGATTTTAGAAATTCAGAAAATAATAGTGTCTCTGCCAATACAACTGTGTCTCCAATAAAGGGGGTACTTGCAGGTGTTTATTGCCGTCAGATAAAGGGGTAAGCACTAACATGTATATCCTCCATGACCCATTTCCAATGACAGTACCTGTAGAACCAATCTCAGTCAGTACCAGCTCATGTCAGCACTGAAAGGGAGAAGGGATGTCAGGGATCCTTGGAACTTTGGGCTGTCACACCCATGGATATGTTGACTGTACTTAAATATGGATTGTCCAATCCATTGTATGTGTTATAAAGGGTAGAAATTTATAGTTAGATGGTACATGCATTAAAATATGTGACTACAGTTTTTAATTGCACAAGAAAGTCCCCGTACGACAATCAGTTTTGTGTGGTTGGTGAGGTTAGATTATTTGTCACTTGGCATTGTGTTAGTAGTGAGTCTTTCACCAAACATTTTTGATGCACCTGTGAGGTGGGAGTAGAGTCACTCCCCTTGTATTTTAACTTCCATGCTATATTTTTACCTTAACTTTAACCCTTTGGATCCTGAAGTTTTCCCTAAGTTGAATAAAATCATCTGGTGATAACCAGAATGAGATTTTAAAGTGTGACATCAGCACAAAAGGGTTAAAGTATTAGTTCTGTTTGTATTATGGGGGCTCCCACATTCCCATTGCAGTTTTATGGTGATGCTGCAGCTATAAAATATGGGAAAGAGCTGTAATTGAAAAACTAAGATATAAATTTGCCCATCAGCCTCATAACAAAGTGCTGGCCGGCCACCTTCCAGCATTGACCTCCTCATGCCACCACCACAGCCATTACCATCCATCATTATCTCCAAAATATTTATGAGCTGAATTTTCGTATTACTCCTGTTTTATATTATGAATTTGCTTACTCTTATCATATTTCCAAGGTTTATTCATCAATGGTTACACATACAATCCTGTACGTATTTCTACTAATATTTGGGAGTGTGACATAGTTTCAAGGAACATAATTCATATACGTATACATAAATGTTCATGTAATGGATTATCATACACTGCAGTGTTGTACAGGAACATAATCCTTTTGATATACAGGGTTCTATTATGCTAGAAGTGAAAGAGATGGACATCCAATAACCAGCAGAGTATGTGAATGATAGGTGAGCATGGCACTGCTGGGTTTTAAGGTACTGTACAGTATATCACAGCAGGTATAGTGACAAGATGAAGGCAAGTGGCAGCAGGTTGTTTTTCTTCTTTATACCAACCAACCTGTAACATTGTTGGAAATGATTTAAAAAATATAATTTGAAAAAAATATTATTGGTTGTAGAGAAGTATGTCAGTCATTTTTTAGTATGAACTACAGTAGCTAAATAAGAACTCAATAAGTGTTTAATGCGTATCTTTAAAATATTGTCTCTTTTTATTAGTTTTTACTCATAAAGAAAATTTTTGAATGAGATAGAATCTTTTCCCATCAGATTCATCAATGGAGTACACAGATAGTAGTGGTGTAGATCTGCAACAGTTCATAATTCAAACTTTACACAAGAACCAAAAAGACCGCATGATGCTCCTGAAGATTGAACATGAGCTAGTCAGCCTTGTGAAGGACACCAAGTAAGTTACTCTTTGCCTTTCTCTTTGGTAATAACATCCCTGGTTCTTCTTATGTGACTCTGGGTAAAGGACTCCCGTTTCTTCTGTCGCACTAAAGTACTTTATCCATTTTATTGCATTTATACGTACTCTGTACTGTACTGTACATGTACAGTATCTTGTTTTTTGCATGTTACTAATTATGTACAAGTAGTATTTCTGATAGATCATAATTTTAAGTTACAGTTGAAGAGTTCTTAATGGAATAATTTTTATGTTTTATCATTTATGGAGGTTTTATTCTGTTTATCAAAACAGTGACATTTATCAAGATGACTTTTTGCTGCTTCTTTGGCTTTTACTACTTTACTAGTCTCATAACTGATGCACTGGATTGGGGGACTTATGTGCTGTACTCTGCTAGCAAGCTTTTGAGCTGATGTCTCAAGGATCTTTGGACCCTTCCACTTTTAATGCAGTAATAAACCAGAAAATTAGAAATAGGTTCTCTCCCAGCTGAAGCACATGCACTAGAATGGGGCTAGTGCTGATGAGTCAGTTGTCAAGGCTGAGAGTTAAGGATCTATCACTGCCTCACTTCTTTGCATGTGCTTCAAAATCCAAACAATCGAGAAAACAGTACCCAGTCACATCGCCTGTTGTTTGGACATCTCTCATCTGTCTACATGTTTTTGGCAGCTAAGTGATTCCTTTATCATGATATGACTTTAGAAATTGCTTCATGAGAGTCCCTTGCATGTGTGCCATAGCATGTTAAAGCGATCCTCACTGTTTGAAATCCTCTGTGATACACAGAATTTAGTTGCATCATGAAGTATTTTGTAAGTATAAAACTTGGTATAGTATGTGGTTAAAAAGTGCCATGGTGGTGACCCACGATCAATACGGAATGTAGCTTATAAAAGGCACTTGCCTTTACTGAAATTAGCTGTACTGCATAGTGTGGTGGGCTAGAAGTGAAAGACTGCTCAAGAAATGTTGGTAGATTCACTGAGTAAGGGTCTGCTTCAGAATTGGCCCCCCCCCAAAAAAAAAATTATAATGTGGAGATTGAAAGGATTCATTTGGCTGAATATCTGCTGGTTTCTAAGGAATGCAAGAAAGGAACACATAATTTTACATTGAGGTCGGGTCATTTCTATCACTGGAATGACTGTCTCTTACCAGAATTTGATTCAATAAACTGAAATTAGATTTGTGACTTGCCTGATAGAAGAGTACCAACTGTGACATTGTTGGCATGAGGGGTATTACCAGAGACTGTATCTGTTTATACTATATCTTCTGAATGGAATAAATTTATGGGGAGACCACCAAGGGAATGTCTTGTACAGTACATTCTTTAAATCCTCTACCTTCTGATTGCTGTCCTTGTAAAAATTATACCACTGCTTTCTTCAGCTGCTTTGGTCATGCAGAATATCAATAATTACAGAGTTTGTCAACACTACTTAAGGTCATGCAAGCCTAAAAGATATTTAAGATCAAGATTTCAAGCAGAGGTGCTAACCCACGCAAGCATGGAAAATGGCCGTACAAAGGGTGTTGATGATGATGAACCAACTTCACAAAGAGACATCCATTTTGCTGGAACAGGGCTAGAAGGCAATGCTGAGGAACCCCAATGAGCATATACTGTACCTAAAGCACAGCCAAATCTCTAGATTTACATTTCTAGCTGATCAGAAGGCACACTTGAAGACTTAGCATGTCAGACATATACACCCATCCGTGGTATAAGCTAGGCAATTGCAGGCATTCTAATCTCTCTGCATAACTGAGGTGCCAAAGTGCAGGCACCAGTCTGGTGGCCCTCCTTTGGACATTTTCAATCAACTGACAGTCCCTAACATATCTCTGGGACCAGACAGAGTGACAGTACTGCAGGCAGGGAAGCACTTCAATCTTGAAGATCGCTATAAGACCTACTTGTTTAGTTACTTGATTCACCTTCTTCTCACAATGGCCCGAGAACTTCAGTTCATTGTCACCATGCAAACCCAGGTCATTTTTGCATTCGGTCTCTATTAATGCAGTTTCTTTGTCCCTTTTGGGACATATGATACACCTCCATACTGTTGGTATGACCCAGGTGCATCCTCTTACTCTTCAAGTCATTGAATCTTAGCAGCTTGTGATAATGGTGTATACACTTGGGATAAGTACAAAGAAAACATGCAAATAGTCCCTGAATGTGAACACACTATTTGTTATCTACATTGCCCCCCCCGCTTAACATGGGGGTTGCATTCCCAGAAAGTGACATATAGAACGAATCCGTGTAGAGCAAACCGATGATAAGATAGGGATACATCAGGTGGACCCTAAAAAGTGCGAGCACACACACACACACACACACACACACACACACACACACACACACACACACACTCTATATAGGGCTGCCCACCAGCCTGGTCTTATGGCTCACTGATTTCTTGAGTGGACGTCGTCTGGCAGTGAGGTATCAGGGTTCTGTCTCCACATTCCAACACCTCACCTGAGGTGTTCCCCAGGGGACCAAGATGAGACCGCTGTGCTTCCTCACCCAGATCAACGACGCTCTATCGGACACTCCTCACAGGTGGTAGTACGTGGATGACTGCACTGTGGGGGTTACAGTGGACAACACTGCACCAGACTACTCATCGCTACAAGGCACCCTGGACAGGCTACAGGCATGGACTACGGAGAACAAGGTCACCATCAACCACACCAAAACCGCAGTCATGCACATCAATACCGCCACCACTCCAGTGCAAGCTCCAGCAGTCACAGTGGGTGCCCATCCTCTCCAGTTAGTGCAGTCTGCCAAACTCCTGGGTGTTACCACAGACCACAAACTGGACTGGAAGGCCCATATAAACAACACAGTCAAGGCAGCCTCGTACCGTCTCTACATGCTACGACGACTTAGGTCACTTGGGACACCCACGCCAGAGTGGAGGACAATCTACAACGCCTTTATTCTCCCCAAACTAACGTATGCGTCACCAGCCTGGTCATCTTCTCTTAACTCCACCCAACAACGTTGGCTAGAGAAGGTACAGAAAAGGGCCTGCAGAATCTCCACCACCAAGCATTAGCAAGGTTTGGCAGTGGACTATTGCACCATCCTCGTCATCACCGCCACCTGCCACCGGCAGTCCCCCACCCACCTTGCGCAGTCTGCTACTACAACAAAATTTAGCCCATAAGAGCCCGCACTGATAGATATAGGAATAGCACCATCCCATATATTGTTAAAATAAGAAACAACTCCTGATTTATGTACTGTACAGCCCTGTAAATGTATTCAACGCAAATCATTGTGTCTAAATCAAATGTAAGTTTGTATATTTTCAGCCACCGGCTGCAACTCTATTAATAAACTGTTTATTATTATTATCACACACACACACACACACACACACACTACTATTTTTTTTTTTTTTTTTATAAAATGGCCTCCAGCCTCCCCCAATAGCCACACCTTCGCCACCATTTTATTACCTTAATATTAAATATCCTAATACATAAGTAGCCATACTAGCTGTGTTGAATTAGTTGAGCCTCAGATCTATGCGGCATTCAGTGACTGTAACCTCATTGTCAATATCTGCAGCTGTTGTCGGCTTTAGAGCCGAAGCTCTTGTTCCTCTGAGGCAGAGCAAAGCCGACCGAAGGAGAGAGAAGAACAGTCGACATCTCATCCAGGCTGTAACATAACTTCTGGGCTGCTGCTTCTGTTCGGAGATCACCCCTGCGAGTCTGGCGTAGAAACATCTTGCACTTGGTCCTATCCCACCAGAGGTTGTGAACACTAGAGGAGTGAAGCTGCCTTGATCAATGTTCTGAATTCTCTCCCCATATGCCTTTATCTTATCGTTCTCGTTTCTCCTGTGTGCAGCATCGAGAGCTAAGTTACGGTGACATGCGGCCATGGGATAAAAAATCCTGATGTTGAAGAAGGCTCGCTGTCCCCGCGTCCAGAATCCTCGAGCACTGACGTCAACACGGGCTTCGTTGGATGTGTTTGAAGTCCTATGTTGGAAGATCTCACCGTCCAATGGAAGGAGGGTCGGTTCTACTATTACATCACGGTAGATTTCCTTCAACATATTTGCTGTGAGATCCCTTACTTCGTCATGCCTCATGCATATGAAGCCCCCTTTCTTGCACACCATGGTGTGATCGGCGTCATAGGAAGAGCCACACACTCATTGGGAGGGCAAACCTTCCACTGGCCTACCGTACCTTAGAGCATTGGCATCTGTAAATTCTTGTTTATTGAGACTGAAACCATTTGCCCTTATCGGTAACGTAGTTAACCAGTTCGAGGCGCCCACCTCCTGCGCTATAGCTACTTTTTTTTTTAAATTCTCTGGTACTTGCTACAACAGTTGCTGCAACTTATCACTTTGGCTGTGCTGTCGTTCTGTCGTAATGGACCTTCGAATCTTGTTTACTTCGCTGGTATCTACCTCTCCTGTTGCGTTCTGAGCTATTATGTGGTCCGTGAGGGCTGCCGTGAGCTTAACTGAGTTTTGATGTTCGGTGGCAGCAATCTCCTCTGGATTGGTGAATCCCATCGCTCCCAGTCTCAGTGGTAGTGCAAGGAGTGATCTTTTTGCTGGGGTTAAGTGAGGGTGTGTCGCTAATTTGGGAATGAAATTGACGTTGATAGCTTCTTCCAGAGGGTGGAGGAGGTGACCAATAGCAGGGATAGTGTGCATCAGGTAGTTCCAGCGATGCTTGACTCCATGAGTGAATGCCGCAAAAGCCGCATGTGGCTCTGTGTTAGCAATCTCAGACAGTGTTTGGATTTGCCTAACCAACTCATTCACCTTTCCCGTTACATACTCGGTCTTGAAGTCAGTCGTGCCGATTACTGCGCCTAGGTGTCTTTGGCCTTCCTTTGTTATTTTGACCTCACTTCCGCCAAACACCTCCATTGCCCGCTCATAATGTCCTGGCTTCACAATGAGGAAGGACTTGCTGGCGTTTGGGTGGTACCCTAT